GTCTGTGATATTTTTACAACATACTGTGCATCCCTGAAATTTTTTTCCTCATTTATCACCCTAATAAACATCCGTGGGAGACGCTCACACGGTCATGTCCAGAGGCTAGAAGATTTAAAAAAAGATTATTTCCAGGGTTACTAAATCTGACAGGAAAATGTGTGATTGTTTCTTCTGACTGCTCCTTATCTTTGGGGAAAACACAGCAGTGTCCAAAGCACGGGGCATAAAGCAAGCACTATTTTTGTTTCCAGTGACAGTGGGTTGACCTTCGAATACTACTCTATGGAGACTGAATTTATGGGAGTACTAGGGTCTGTAAGAGATGTAATTAACTGCCTTTGAGCAATCTGTGCAACAAATTCTGTTTTGCACCTTTGCAGATGCTGATGAGCTCTACAAGTTGCCCCTCACTATGGAGGACCTGATCTCCTACAGCTTTCAGGTGGCCAGAGGCATGGAGTTTCTATCCTCCAGAAAGGTGAGTCTGGGGCTGGGAATTTTTTCCTTGCAGAAGAACGGGATTCAGAGGTGAAATCGTGTCTATGTTTTAGTGACACCTTCCTTGGGAGAGCTCCCAAAGGAAGAGCTGTTTTCCTCTTGGCGTTATAAATATAATAGTGTGTTTATCCAAGTCCCTGAAGTCCATAAACACAGGATCATGGCTTAAGGCAGTGGGTCAAGCTCATTCATTCAGGGAAGATCTTTTGGGTGTGGTGGGATTTTTTTTCTTCTCTTCAACATCTATTAGGTAGGGAGCTCCAAATGAATCAGTGCTTTCCCTGCACATGTCAAAGGGCTTAAAAAATTATCACTTTCTGGATTTGGGAAGTTTGGGTTTTTTTAAGAATTGCCACTGTTCACAGTAAATTCAAGCAAATATAGTCAACTTCCCTAAAAATATTAAACTGATCTCTATAATAATCATCATCATCATCTTAAAAAGGATATGGGAGACAGTCAGGAAATTTGTAGGCAGGATTAAGGAAATGCAGTTTGATTGTGAAACTGTTTTATTATAGTGCATTCATCGTGACCTGGCAGCCAGAAACATCCTTTTATCTGAGAACAATGTCGTGAAGATCTGTGATTTTGGCCTCGCAAGAGATATTTATAAGAATCCTGATTATGTGAGAAAAGGAGATGTAAGTCAAGAAGCTATTTACCCAAATGTTTATAACATAGCATTTCAAACTGTCCACCAAAATGTTCTGCAGACATTCACATTTCCTGAACTTTAAAGAGCTCGACAGCTATCACGGTTTTTATGTGAAGATGAGCTATCCAGATGCATTGTAGCTCTGGAAGGCATTTCTGTCTTCAAGCCCAAGTCTTGCACATGCTAACCGTTTCACCGCTCTGCCTTGTTAAATACTTTAGATATGTTTTAGATATGTTTCTTGGCTGTCTCAGCATAATCCCCTTACTCAGTAAACTCCAAAACAAGGTGCTGAGCCGCCTGGGTGCACCCGTACCAGAGCCAGGCACCGCTTGTGGTGCCTCAGACAGCGGAGTGGGACTCTCTGCCTCCAGCACCTACTCATTGCTTTTTTTGCTTCTGCTGCAAACAGCACAGTAAGTCCCCTGACAGGGCTGGGCCAGTAAACTGTGCCTGCGCCTGCTGATGCTGTGAGGATTTGGTGTGGGCATTGTGGTCACACAGAGAGTCTCTTTCTGGAGGTCTCACCCACCTGCTAGCTATTCCCTTGTCCATAAATAGCTTTCAAGATTTACAGCTCTACGTAGTAGCTGAGAAATGTTCTTCACATAATTTGGGTACTGCTCAGGAGACGGTAACAGGCTGTGCTGAGGGGACTTCAAGGGTTGCCAATATACTCCTGCAAATCAGGCTTGGAAAATTTCCCTGAGAATATCTCTGACACCATCACGGAGTGATTTGCGCTTGGATTTGCACTCCCCTGTTTCTAGGATGCTGAAAAGAGATCTGTTTTCTTGCATATCCCTACATCCCTGTAAAGAAAAGGCCACTCTGGTCACAGGTTTCCAATGTCTGGTGTTTTGTGCCACACATATTTTAAAAATAGCCTTTTACTCCAACGGTTTGTCAAGAAAGTGTCTGAATGAGTGTGGGTTTATCTGGGCTGCCTGTAAGGAAATCCCACAGGTTCCTGTTTGAATGGTCATTATTTACGTAACAATATATAGTTGATTCATCTACGATTAAGTTCTTGTAGGCTTTGAAAATAATAGCCAGGTTTGTCCCTTTTACTCCAGGCTCGACTTCCTCTCAAGTGGATGGCTCCAGAATCCATATTTGATAAAATCTACAATACAAAAAGCGACGTCTGGTCCTACGGGGTCTTGCTGTGGGAGATATTTTCTTTGGGTATGTTAACTCTGCATGCCAGGAGCTGACTCAGTGGCGGGGATTTCCCCCTGCAGAAATACATCCATTACCTTCAACGAGGTTTTGCCAGGTCTTTAGTAAGGAAAGACCTAAATCTGGCAAAGGTGGGGTGGGGGGGTAGAGAGGAGAACTATGTGTATCACAGCCCTGTGAACTGGAAGTTTTGGTGCTTGTAAGGGCACTGAAAGCTGACTTGCCAGGCTGAAAGCCTCAATGGATAGCACAGCTATCTGAGCACTTTACCATCTATTTCTTTGCTACGGGCAAAAACTTCAGCTTCGCTCTTTTTGTTTTAGGAACCCTTGGTAGAGGCAGGGCAGCATGGCTGGAGCAGTCACAGTGGATTTTTTGAAGGCACAAACCAGGAAAATCGGGCAAACTTTTAAGTGTTTTTATTGACCTTGTGGGATAACAGAGATCTGGGGGGCTGTGTCGGCAGCTGCCAGGGACAGAGGCATCGTCTCCTGTGCCACAGATAGCATTCAAGACACCGAGTGCCATGGGCTGGGTGCTCCCTCAAAAGCTTCTTATTTTTCTTGTGGGATCTTCGCATGTCTCAGACTGTGTCACCCCGATTTCCAGCCTGGTCTCAGGCTGGTCCCCCCAGCCCAGAAGAGACCCAGGACTCCCCTCGCCCAGGCCGCTGGATGCAGCAGGTGAACCAGCATCTGCACAGATGCCACAGGATGAACTAGAGCATGCAATCCGAAATTAAAACCCAGTGAAGCTTTTTTTTTTTTTCCTTCCCCCCGTTTCTTTCACGTGGAAAAGGCAGGATACAAGATGTACACAGAGCGGGAAACAACAATGACTGTCAGAATAGAAGAATCTTAATTGGGTTCAACATAGAGGCTGACAAAAGAGGCGAACAGCAGAGGAAACAATACTATACAATTCTCAGGACAATCAATCATTTATTAGTTTAAATACGTGTTGTTGGTCAAGCTGCCAACTCTTGGGATTTTATGGCAGGCTCATAATACCTGCTATTTTTTTCTTAAAGCCCCAGCTCCTTGAACCTGGCGACTGCCTGACTCTCTGAAAGGTCTTTTTATTTCTTTCGTTTTCCCTTTTCCCGATATTTTTTTCTAAAGAAAAAAAGACCAACAACATAATCAGGATGCATCTTAAAAACACTGAAACTAGAAAACTAGTGCAAATGTGATATGATTTAAAACTGATTTTTTAAAATTTTATTTTCAGGGTGGTTTGGAGCATCTGGGGTTTGTTAATACTCTGCTTTCTAGAACTGGGGATGGTACAAAACAATAGAGAGATCATACCTGGCTTTTCCTGAGGGATACTTTTAAAGTCAAACTCGTGTGTATTTTTGGCATTCAGGCCAGGTAAGCATCACCAATAGTCCTCTCCCAAGGATCGGGGCTTGGAGAACCAGCAGCAGTTCCTTACCTGTGGCAGCTGGTGTGGCCCAGACCCCACAGGGGTCCCAGCTCTTTGCGGAGATGCTCCACACCCTGAGTGTTTGAGGGGGATGCGTAGGGCTAAGGCTTGGTCACAGGCGCCCAGCTCAAGGCATGTGTGACCCAGTTCTCCCAATGTCACTTCCAGGTGCCTCTCCTTACCCCGGAGTCCAAATAGATGAGGATTTCTGCAGCAGACTGAAGGAAGGCACAAGAATGCGAGCCCCGGAGCAAGCGACCAAGGAGATGTAAGATGCCTTTTTCTGCTTGTTTTGTGTTCCACTGCCCTCCTGGGCTGCCTTGCAGATAGTGCACTAGTCTCCACAAAAAGCATCCCATCCCAACATAAGAAAAACAACCCAATGCTGCCTCATATTTTCTTGCTGTCATCAGCATCTTCTCACATCCCTCCCCTTGGCCCCCTGGCCCTCCTGTAGGGTACGAGAGGGTGAGGAGAGGACATGGACCAGAGCCCAGCGCATCACCAGGGCTGGGCTCTGAGGGGAGCTGAGCGAGCAGCCCGGAGGAGGAAGGTCATTCATTCCTCTCCAGGTTTTTACCGACGTGCACACAGATAAGTGCTGAAGGAATGTGACAAGACGTCGTCTTGACTTAGGAAGTGACAGTGGAGGCTTCCTCGCAAACACTCGGGATGAGGGTCCACCCTTTCCTGGAGACGATGTCTGATGGCAGAGGAAGGTGACGGGGACCCGCAGCTTCCCAGCTTGTATCGCCTGCGGGGTTTGTCTGAGCCCTTCCACCACCACATCAGCTATTGCTTCCCAGTTCCCTGCCTTCAGGTGCAGCCTCCAGCTGCTGCTGCATGGCCAACACCTTTCTGGAGACCTTGGCAGTGGGAGGGTCCAAGTGAGACCCTGAGCTTGCAGCCCCTCAGCCCTGGGCACCTGCAGCACACCAAACATGCACCCTGTGGCACAAATCATCCAGGAGCTGGAACATATCCAGGGTATTTTACCCTGGAGGCAAAATCAAGTATGTGAGGGTGTCTTCAGTGTCTTTTTGAGTGCTATGTCATGACTCTAAATAGCAACACTTAACAAGTTCTAGAAGGAGAAAAAGGAAGCGAGCCAGCCGTACCTATCTGGGAGTATAACCCATTGGCTAATTTTATTATCCTAGTGACAGTAGATAAGAGGTTTTTTTCTCTTCCATGTATTTTATTGCAGGAAGGAAAGCTTGACTCGACCAACACAAGGAAGTGACACATTTGTATAAGTCATCTTAGGATGCCTTAACCTAAACATTGCCAGTTAATAGATGTTTAATACAAAGGTTTAATGTTTAATTAGGAATAAATAAAAGCAAGTATGACTAGTTGGCTAAATTATTCTTTTGATGTGGTCTGCCCACATGTGGGAAGAAGGCTTTTTTTCTTTTTTCATGGAAAGTTTACTTTTTTAGTAAGAAGCCTTAATGGTGTTGGAGAGCATCTTTGTAAAATCAGGCAGGCTCAGGAGTTATATCAATGATGAGCTGTGAGATACTGCGCTGCCTTGGATCCTAGTGAGCTGTAACCCCACCATGTGCTCATTTGCCTTTTGTCCTCACAGCTACCAAATCATGCTGGACTGCTGGCGAAGCAATCCCAACGACAGGCCAAGGTTCTCCGAGCTGGTGAAAAAGCTAGGCGACCTGCTGCAAGCAAACGTCGAGCAGGTACTAATGTGACAAACGCATGCTGTCACCAAGGTAGGCACGACTGTCTACATGGTCCCAGGAATAACGCTTCCATTTCTTGTATCTATTTAGGAAGGCAAAGACTACATACCCCTCAATACAATATTTGCAACAGAAAGTGTTTTTCCGCCTGCATCTGATGCATTGTGCAATGAAAATTTTTCTGTTTCAAGCTCAAATTGTGGAAGCACTGAAAATGTCAGGTGAGATGAGCAAGACTAAGACTGAGTTTGCTGGAAATTGTAGCTTGCTGCATAGCCTAGTCTGGACCTGGACAGAAAAAACCACTCAGAGATATCCCACATGGCTTGAGTGTCCCACCAGCCACCACTGCCAGGATCCTGTTGGGCTGGGATGGTCCATCAGCGTCCCTGCACTGGACAAACATCAGGTCATCAGGATTGGGTGCTGTGAAAGGGGCAGTGCCCCAGGGCTGGGGAGGGAGGTTAGGGTGGGGTCTGGTTAACATGTCCTTTTTGTGTAAACTACCTCGATGACAGGCAACTGCTTAAAGAAACAGAGAAATACACAGTGCTTCCTGCTTACGCACTTCACACTCTCACCAAAAATTGTCCTGATTTTTTTGTTGAACAGATACATAAACACTTTCAAAATAAAACCACCCCAGAGCATAAAGACATTTGAAGAGCTTCCCATCAAGGAAACGCTTGTATTTAATGTAAGTGACTCTTGGGTCAAATGGTACGCCATTTATTTCTTTTTATTTGTGTGCCAGATATATCCAGAGTGAATCAAGAAGGGAGTTTACTGCTTTGTCAGTTCTACTGATATGTCCAGTGATAGGACAAGGGACAACGGGTACAAGCTGGAGCATAGGAGGTTTCACAAAAATATTAGGAAAAACTTTTTCACTGTGAGGGTGACAGAGCCCTGGCACAGGCTGCCCAGGGAGGTTGTGGAGTCTCCTTCTCTGGAGACATTCAAAACCCACCTGGATGCTTTCCTGTGTGGCTGCCCTAGGTGATCCTGCTCTGGCAGGGGGGGGCTGGACTAGATGATCTTTCGAGGTCCCTTCTAACCGCTAACATTCTGCGATTCTGTGTGATTCTGTGATACGACGTGCTGGATCAGCTGTGGTTGCAGTATGGTCTTGTACAACATCCTACAAATTCGGGACAGTAGAACGTTACTGACTGTGCAATGGGCTGCAAACACTCATTCGCTGGTAAGAAATGGCTGGTGCCAGTAGGTCTGCAAGGTATGGGTGCCAAGTTCCCACCTGAGTCCCACTGGTGTAGGAAAGCCACTTAAAATCCCTTGGATTTTTGTTTTCATCTGAATAGTAGTGCACAAATGAGAATTGTGGGTCAGATTTCCATTGGAGGTTCCTAGTATGAACAAATCTTGTTATAAGGTGGAAGCTGGGGAAATGTCTACTGACAGGGCACGCATGCTGTCCTGGTGAGGGTGGGCACGGGTGAGAGGTTGGGGGAAGCTCTTAGTGATCCAGTTGTAAGCATTAAGTGGCAGAAGGTGGGAAGGGCAATATGGTGTTTGCAGGGTTGAACTAGTGGCTGGTCAGAACCTCGCTTTGCAAGCAGACACTTTTCTTTTAGCACTCTGTATCCATGTTAACAGCATGTGTTTGCTGCACCCCAAAGCATGGACAGTTCCAAAAGGCACTATTAAATGCCAGAAATCAGACCAAAGAGGAATCATGTCCATTGTAAAAATAACTTTCTAGAGTTAACACCTAGTAGGATTGCATCTTTCTTTTTTCTTCAAGGATTATCAAGCAGACAGCGGGATGGTGTTGGCTCCAGGAGAACTAAAACGCTTCACGTGGACAGGCATCAAGCAGAAACGGACGCTCTTTGGGTCTGTATTTAATGTTTCCTTCTTCTCTTTCAAGTTTTAGAGGGCAAAGGAGGATTCAAGATCCTTGTGCTACGTCAGGCCTAGTGAAAGTAGCTGAGGTGTCCCCAGTCCCTGCAAACACTCTTGCTGAGGGGCATCCTGCTCACTTGAGTCTGCAGTCAATCAGCCCCACACCTAATCCTCCATGCACCTTCAATGAAACAAATAACCCTCAAGCCGTTCAGTGAACAACACCAGTATGATTTATTAGCACTCTGTTGTTCAGCCTGATCCTCAACTTAATGCCAGGCTGGGCAAATGAGTGCCAGAGAGCACTAAGCCAAGGTAGAGGTAGGTAAATATAGGAAACGAGCCCTCAGCAAGCAGAAGGAGGAACGTGTGGCTGTGAAGGATTTGCAGTTGTTTCTGCAACTCCCCAAGGGCGCCCCAGCTGGGACAAGGCTCCCCATGCTTGTTTTCGCCCTTCTTTTCCATGACTCAGCTAAGCACGGCCCATTTAACACCCATGGGCTCAGGATGCGAAAGTGGCAACTTTACAATAGATGGATGTGAGGGCCTCACTTCTCTTCCTGCCTTTAAGCACTGTAATATACTGGCCACCTTCCTCCACCTAATTCCTGACAGCTGCCCAAGCAGGGAACTAGGGCTGCTCTAAGAAATGCGCTGCACTGACATGAACTCTCTGTAAATGGGAAACATTTGTTTTCTCAGTGCCGGTGGTGTCTCAGTTCCCAGCCACTGCAAAGCTGGCAGTGTCCATGGCTGGTTTAGGCTCACTGCTCTCAGCCAGCCCCGGGGACTGCCCAGAGCCAACCCATCCTTCATCTCATGCTGGCAGGAGGTCAAGGCCATCCTGCCTGCACTGAACTTGTCAGCGACTTGCAGCTGGGCAGGCGGGGAGGTGTGGTATTGTCTTGATGAACAATTGGAGCTGGCTGAAATGTGCAGTTGGGGCACAGAGGTCTTGCTTCAAGAAAAATTCCAGTGACTAAGAGGGCGTTGGTTAAATGCACAGAAATCCATGTAGGAGAACGTGCACACTCACATGGCCAAAATACACAGTGTGTGGGATAAATGTGCTGCTGGCAACAGTCTGCAATGGAGCACTGCTCATGCATGGCAAAGCTGGGGTGATTCAAGCCGCTCTGGAGAAGTGCTGGAAAACCCTTTCTCCTGCCTTGACCACTCACATTTCAGAAAAGAGGCTTGTGAGCAGTTTTACGGTACTTTGATTTTAACAAGATAGTTTTCCGTACTTGCTTTTGAGGAGCCAGGTACTACAGAGGTTGGAATGCAGGTGGATATTAGAGAGCTCCAAAGGATGCAATGTTTCCTAGGCGTGGTTTAGCCTGTTTTTCCTTTGTGTAAATGTGACATTTCTGAAGGCTGCTGTCAGCCACAGAGACGACATGACAACTTCCCCAAATGAGATGTATGATGTCCTGGTGAACAACAAGATGACCATGAGCCAGTAATGTGCCCTTGTGGCCAAGAAGGCCAATGGCATGCTGGGGTGCATCAAGAAGAAGGTGGCCAGCACGCTAAGGGAGGTCATACTCCCCCTCTGCTCTGTCACGGTGAGGCCACATCTGAAGTACTGTGTCCAGTTCTGAGCTTCCCGGTCCAAGAGTGACAGGGAACTACTGGAGTCCAGCACAGGGCAACAAAGATGATCGAAGGACTGCAGCATCTACCATATAAGCAAAGGCTGAGGGACTTGGGTCTTTTTAGTCTGGAAAAGAGAAGACTGAGGGGGATCTTATCAGCGCTTATAAATACTTAAAAGGGTGGGTATCAGGAGGATGGAGCCAGCCTTTTTTCAGTGGTGTCCAGTGACAGGAGGTAATGGGCACAGATGAACTTAGGAAGTTCCAACTAAGCATGAGGAGGAACTTTACTGTGAGGGTGGCAGAGCACTGGAACAGGCTGCGCAGAGGTTGTGGAGTCTCCTCTGGAGATTTTCAAAACCCACCTGGACGCTACCCTGTGCAACCTGCTTTAGGCGAACCTGCTCTAGCAGGTGAGCTGGACTAGGTGATCTCCAGAGGTCTCTTCCAATCCCTACCATTCTGTGACTCCGTGAAACGCGTGAAATGCCTTTTTCTTTGCATGGCACAGAATTCATGGAGTGTGCTCCAGGCATCCCTCTGGAACTACTTTAAAGAGCATTTTTAGCTGTAGAAGGAAAAGGAATGCTTAGATAGGAAAAAAAAATTAACTCAGTGTCTGCTAGAATGTAAATCCCTAGGGAAACAGAACAGTTTGCTGAGAACATGCAAGGTCGTCTGGCCTGCAAGCTAAACAAGTGGTACTGTAGTGCTATGCCAGTAAGCACTCATGTATATGAATACACTCAGTGACCCTTTAGTCCATACATATTCCTTCAAGTGGTAGCTTCTTAGCTAAGCATCCTTTATTTAGGCTAAATCAGGCCAGTAAATAATTACCCCAGAAGTTGTCCTTAACAGAAGATAGGGTAGAGCTTGGTGGGAGTTGACATGCATGAGTTGGTCTACCTAGATACACAGTCCTGCTTCCTCCCTTGCACCTCAAGTATCCTTCTCTCTGGTCCTGCCCACTCTCTTGTCCTGACATTTCTGCTTGACTTGCCTTGCAGAGAGCTGGTTCAGGTCGCTGGGTTACCAAAACAGCCCCAGAATAGTTTCTGGGCAAGCAGTAGCAGCTCAGTGTTAAGGCAGCTGGTGCCAGTGCCAGGCTGAGAAAGGGGTGACCACCTCTTTCCTGGCAGCACCCTCCAGCTAGATCACCTTCACTGTACTGCCCAACGGCTCCCAAAGCACTTATCATCACATCGTAAAACTCCACGCTGCAGTTTAGGACACAGAAAAATGCAATTGCACCGAGGTCCTCAGCCAAGGCTGAGGGTGCTTCGAGGCCACGTCCTTGCAGGCCAGAGCAGGCTGGCCTGCCTGCCCCTGGGCTCCTGTCTTTCCCTGCTGCCCAGGGCAGAAATACTGGGCTCAGCATGTTTTTTTTCCTCCATTTGAAGCTGGAACTGTGTGTGAGCCAGAGAGCTTTCAGACTAGGGGTACCCCACTGACCCACGTGAGTCCCCTCTTCCTCAGACTTCCACTGCTGTGGAAGGAAAGGCACCAACATGCAAAGCTCACCTTTGGCTTCACTATAGGAAACAAGTATCAGCCCAAACCCTGGTGAGCCACTCAGGCCCAGGTGGTGGCCTGGAGCACAACAAAAATGGTTGTTGTGTATCTTGGACTTGCTATGGCCATTGAGATGGAAGTAAGCGATACTGTGAGCAGTATAAAGAGAAATAAGTCTTTCCTAATCTGAGTCCTCAGGTAATAAGATTCCAACAGAAGAGTTTGGGGGCAGAGAAAGAGCAACTGTCTGAGCTCTGCTCCTTCGCAAGTGGAAATGATCCCAACTGCAACTCTCTTCTAGCTTTTCAGTATTGGTGAAAAAGCCCAACCCAAGTAAGCCAAAATCGTCAGGCTGGAGCAAACCCTAGAGTCAGAGCAAATTGCTAAGCCAGAAAAACAGTGAGATCTCCCACTACTTGTAAGCTGGAACAAGCATCTCAAAAGCCAGAGCCAGCCTCTAACCCCACTCCATTCTTGAATCTGTCAGGAAAGCAGCAGCTGTTTCCTCCAACAAATGATCCAAATAGAAACTCTGTCTAGCTGGCTTTTAAATTTATATTCCTAGAGTGGAAAGAAGATAATCATAGCTAGAGAAGCCTTCCCTGACTGTAAGCTCAGTCTCAAAATGAAGCCTGACTATGGATGCCAGGGCTCTGTGGGAGTGCGTGCACAGGTACAGCAGTGCACTCAATGTAAAATTAATAGATGTAGCTCTACTGGTATAAAGGTTTATTAATTAAAGTAGAAGTCAACTCTAGCTCACAAGAAAACTCTCAGGATGCAAAAGCCTGATGATGACTGAAAGGATCAAAGCATGATAATTTTAAAGCTTGTAACTTCACATGTGCACTCCACTTCTGCTAGCTCCCCACGACAATTACAGTGTAATTATGGAAGCATTTCTCTTTAAACCCATCACAAAAAGTCCACTGCATCTGTGACTAACCTTGTCACAGTTATGGAATTTATCCCAAGGCAATTACTTCTCCATCTGCCAACAGATGCAATATAAAAATGTGATGCATCTGCAAAAGGGTTCCTACTCATGAATTCCATCCATCTACAAACAAATGGAATGGAATGGTATTCATGGGAGGATCCTTTGATTTCCTAAGTTAGGATAAAAGACAGAGACCACGCTCCTTATAAAGCATGTGATTTAAAGATTCAAGAAATCGAGACATCTGTGAGAAACTATTACTTCTCCATTTCCTAATCAGGAAAGGCCCTGTGCTACCACAGTTCTGTACTTTACTGAAAGATCCAACGGCGCAAATTAAAATGAAAAGCAAAACCCTGGGCTCCAAAAGCCTCAACAGATGTTCTGACTGTCTTCTCTGGAATTTAAAACTAGGGCTGCCAACGTTCCTGACCTTATAAATGGAGAGGGGCAGAACATCCATGAACTTATAAAAATACAGGGGAGGGAATCTAATTTTAGGCATTGCGGTCCAACGTATGTTTACACTAGGATTTCACATGCAATCAATGATGGAAAATGCTCTGGCTTGTCCTTTGTCTACAGATAAACCTCTGGTATCTAAAGTCAATGGTGTGAAAATTCTCTCTGTCTTAACTTTCTTCATTATTGAAAGAGCCCTCTTAAGCACTGGGCTCTCTAAATATGGGTGAGAAACTGCTGCAAGGCAAACAATGTCTTAAAGAGTGGCTCAGCTGAGAAGACATTAAAGCCCTCTTGTCAAGGGCATCTTATAAAAGGCAGCCTACAGGATAAATGGTCCTTTGTGGGACAGAAAAACTAATTCAAACCAGGAGTTCATGTCTGCTGCCAAGAGAAGCCTAAGAGAGGAGATACTCAGACCTTATGCCCTTCCTCACAAACACGAACAATTTATCTTTAAAATTCATCCCAGCATTACGCTTTGGGAATGCCTACACTAAGAGCTTTCTCCTTTTGCCCCAAGTCTTGAGACCCTTCCTTACTTAACTCCTGCTAAAAAACCCCACCAATAGTTCCCTCAGGGAGAACATTTATGTGTGGGGACTCTATAGGGATGCACAGCCCAGCAGCAGCCTAGATGCCAGACACTTCACGCTACTTTGCCCTGCAAAGAAGTTTCATTCCCTAGCCCCTGCCATGAATGAGCAATTAGAGCTTAGGCTGAGCAATCAACTACTCCCCATAAGCATGACAACTCTAATACTTACAGGCACCTTAATAGTGATGTTCAGTCACAGCATCTCTGGTCAGAAGGGTACTCGAGGGAGACATAGGAGGGCTCTTTCAGTCCTCTGTCCCGCTCTCCCATTGAGCAATCCCATCTGCATCCATGTCGTTGCCATCATCTGAGAATAAACAAAGCTGCTTCTTGTAACATGGTTTTGCTCAAGCCATTAAAACAAATGCCTGTACATGTGAAATATGCTAACAGCAAGGCTGCTCTGTTACAGTGTGAAAGGTGCCAGCAGGAGCAAGGACTCGGTGCTTTCTGGAATAACCAAGCCAAGAAGTTTCTGCAGTTTCAGCTGTGACCAGCTCAGCGACTCCAAGCGAAGATACACGTGTGGTAATGCGGTGCTGGAGAAAATGAAAGCAAGCCATTCCCCCCCTCCCGACTACAACTCCGTCGTCCTTTACTCTCAGCCACCTGCTTAAGATTTAAATTTGCATTTAATCCAAAACAGTTCTTCTGAAACGCTGTCAGTTTAAAAGTCCTGCCCCAAATAAGTTTAATTACCCTAAAATTTAGAAAGATCTTAATTATCTGCTTTTCTGCAGACTGCAACAAGTATATACAAAATATAGCAACATACTAATGCTTAGGCCTTGACTTTCCCAAATGCTGAACACCAACAGCTGCCACTAAAATTGCCCAGTGCTTCTGAGAAGCTGGATGGTCATCATTACAGAGAAAACTGCTGTTTGGTCCCTGGCAGCAGGATGATATTTTGTGCTCGCCACTCAGCCTCTGCTCAGACTCAGGTGCAGCACTGGTGTCCCAGCTGGGAGAGGCAGCTGGCAACCCTTGGAAATAGGTGCCACTTGCACCCTATTGCTGGGGCCTCTGTAGTGCTGGAAAATGAATTATTCTTCAAGAGAAGAAAAACGAGAAGCAGATAACTCTCTACATTTTTTTTTTAGTGAAAACTCTGAGAAACTTGAGGCAAAGCTAATGCTCCAGGGGAGCTCCGTTAGCTTGCTGGGGATGGGGTGTTTTACAGCTCTCACTGCTTCAGATGGCAAATGCAGTTAAGAGTCTCACCAGGCAAGATTTCAAATTTGTGTTGCAAAACACGATTGGCAAGGATAGAGGAGAACTAAGATCAGAGCCAGGGCTGCAATAACAGGGAATACATATCAATTCAGTTGGGACAAGCCTGCTGAAATCAAGTAAATATTCTTGAAGTTTTGCACTTTGTCACTATGCCAACACACACACACTGGAACGGAACCACAAGCTAGATATGTTAAAGCCAAGCTCTGTCCATGAAACCTCGTGGACCTTCTGCACTGATTTTATTTATGGGAATCTGTCTGAAAAGACAGGATGGCTACTAAACTGCATATACTTTAAATGAACTGAGCACTGGAGAGTTTTTAGAGATTAGTTAGAAATGACAAGACAATCTCCTTGGAAAGTTAGAGCAGCTTTTCTATGAAGACAGCTGAATTTCCATGTTAGTTACCAGTATGTATGTACAGGCATACAAATGTATGGTTCACTTGCAGCAGACTTTTGTACAGCATTTCAGAAAGGGCATAAGTGTTCTTTGTTCGACAAGTATAAGGATGCACCATCCCCTTTCACTTTTGAATGCAGTATTAAAACAAGAGTTGGCCACTTAACACAGTAGCCCTGATATCTTCCAAATCAGCAATTACTGCCCAATCTCAGCCTCTTGTGATCCACTACAAATATCTATTAACTCAAATACCACATATAATGTGGTTCTGACCTCTCAAAACACAGCTTAGGAGCTGTGAATTTAATCCACTAACAAACTTAAAGGCAAACAATCTTTTGCATATTCACGAAGAAAAATGTTGTTGGATATTCAGGTAAAAGAAATATGCACCACTACGTCCAAGCTAAGCATCTATTCCAGATTTTTCTTGGCCAAGAGATCATCAGTTTTAAGTGTCTATTGCACTGTCTCTTGCTAGTAAAGCGTATTCGATCCTGATCAAAACAAAAGGAGAGTTTAAGAACAGCTTCTTAACTCCAACTGAGCAAAGATGGTTATGGGATGATGCCTCTCAAAGGAAATGTTTGCACGGTGTAAATATATAAATATGCTTTTTGTGCATAAATATTTAAGAAAACTGGACTACAAAGATTACTTTTATATGAACACCCTGTTTCTTCGGATGTGAATAACTCCTATTTTGTCTTGCATTTTCTGTCTTCATATAAAGTATTTGAGTGCTAAATTCATATACAATAAAGTTGCTTCTGAAACAATCCGCAGAGTTCTGCCAGACTAGTCCACCCAGTGTCACAGACTGCCGCAGCAGATGATTCATCTCCACAGAGATGTTCAATTGAGTGCTCTCTGCCGTACAGCATTTTAAAAATCTGCAGGGATCTCCAAGCCACACTGCAGATAAACTACACATAAGTGCTGCAAGGGGGCAGAGATGAAAATTTCTCTGGTAACAGGATCGCCCTGCAATGCCGCAAGGGTTGCACAGCTATTGCTGCACGTGACTAACAAGGAAGCTGGAGACTAGATGAGTGCGTCAGCTGAGCTTACTGCAGCTTATATAATAAAATTGCTGACATGCTGCAGTTTAATTGATAATGATTCCATGCTAAGTACATGCAGGGAGTACTGACAACTCCATATATATATTACACAAAACTTCACATTACATAAGTGTGGTCAGGACTGAATGCGTACAGATTTTACCCCAGCAGTAAATCATCTCACTTTTGCTGGTGAACAGTGTAGAAAAATAACTGTGGGAAAAGAAGTTGTCAGGACTCCACCTGCAAACTGACAGAGAAATTAATATGCTCTGTTATTGGGCAAAAAAGCTCAATAAACATGAAAGTAGTAACAAGGTTTTCAAAATCAGGCCTTGTCTAATAAAGCAGATCGTGACCTGACAGGAGCAGACGGGACTTGACTCGGGAGGTAAGGAAATGTGTATTAGCATGATTCTAGTCAACCTCATGTAAGTTTTAGTACATGTGGTAGCACTAAACACATTTTGTGACTTGTGATTGCTTAAACTCTGTTTTGCAGACACATTGAACACAAAAGAAATATGACAGAATGAAATACACCAAAGCTGAAAAGTCCTATATCCAACTTCACATTGTCAAAATAAGGCCGCGTTATTTCTGGTATTCTTTATTAAAAATACTGCTGTACACATGAAGAATGAAAACAAGATTAAAGATGAGTAACACATATCGGGATCATGACATTAGAACTTAACATACTGGTGCTTTTTAGGGGAAGCAGTTGACACCTGAATTACTGAAACAAGGGCAAATAAAAAATGCATAGGTACCCTCAACGTAATATTTACAATATAGTAAATACAGCAACAGAATTTAAAACAGGTACAAAAATTAAAATGACCAACATCAGGTGATTTCAAAGGTTGTCCCTTCTGTGCTTTTAGCTGTAAAAAACAGGAAGGTCAGAATTAAATTTCCCATCTGGGAGGGCACATCCCGGTGCCTCGTCTTTTTAAATAGAGATACACAGTTCTTATGAATGGATCAAACTACAACTTTAGGACAACCTTCTAAATGGAATTAAAACGGGGTAGAAGGTCTCTCCCCAAAAAAACACCCAAGCTGAACTTCAGACTGTTCAAATCATTCCCAAATACAGACCAAATGAAATAAATAGAAAACAAAGCTCATTTTTTTTTTTATTTTATGTATTACCTGACACCAAATATTTTCTGGCTGACATTAGGTATGAAAACTTATTAGCTGTCTACCTTTTTATTTTTAAACCAAGTCCTGAGGTTACTAGGGGCTGAAGGAAACTGACATTATGCAAATACACACAGGTTTGCAATTTAGACATGTCTCGCAGAGGGTGGTTTGCTGGTCTAAAAAGGATGAGAATTCAAGCCCTATTTTACCCCTGCCTTACGCTTTCACAAAATATTGGTCCACAAATTAAATTTTCAAAGGTTCCCAAACCCCACAACTGAACAGATGATCCCCTTTCATTTTCAAAGAAAACAATACTGGAAAAAACCTCAGCCCGCTTATAAATTAAGCATTTCATATTTCTTCTAGAATACAAGTACTTCTTTTTTGTACAAAAGAATTACAATATGATTTGTCAAAAAACATATAAAAGACAGCTGCTCTTCCTCAAATACATGAGCTAATGATAAAAGACTGTTTTGCATGTTCACTTTTCAAAGTTCCTGTTCCTTTTATATTAAAAAGAACATTCTGGCAACTGTTGTCATTTGAATATTAAACATTACGTTCCTTTTAAAATTCATTCGATCAAATGCAACAATAATAGATTTTTACTCAACAACTGATGCTACCTAATGTGGATTCAACCACATTTTCTAAAATGTGTAAAGCATGTCCCTAGTCTTCAAAGCTTTCGATGTGAAGAGAGTTGCTTTTTTCTTGATGCAAGTCTCAAGGCGGAGAATCATTTTAAAGCTTATAAAAGTGGACAGAGAAATATTAAAAACTTCTCTGAAAACTACAAATATTGAGAATTATTAAAATTGATGTCAGTAACATCAGTTGCAAGTGCTTAGAGTCTGTCCTGACCTTTTGAGTTTCCACATTTTCTTCATGGTGAGCACCCAGTGCTATTAAAACATTCAGTGCTGGGAAAGCATAGACACAGTCTTCACTACTGCTTTAAGAAAGGAAATTCCTACATATTTGGCAGTCTTCAGTATCAAAGTGTAGGTGTTTAACTAGAAATCCCATGAATACCCAAGTTTGGAGACAACTGCATGTCCAAATATTAGAAAGGTAACTGAGGAGGAAAATTCCAGACTTTTGAGACTGAATTACTTCAGGAATATTCATGTGTTGAGTATTATCAAAAGTAATATTACTTTGGGCTAAGCAGTGACTGCAAAGGCACAGCAGATCATTATCCCTCCAGATTCAGGCTGTAAAACTTGAAAAGCTCTTGATGCCAGACAACTGCTGTGTTTAGTTAATCTTCTTTTAACAGTGTCTTTGTATCTGTATCCAGTGTAGCGTACCATAATAAAGCTGTGGTTCAAAGAACAGAACTTTATACAAAAATTATACTGTAAATAACCTAAAGTAATACACTCCTGAAACTTCAGGCATTTAAACAATTTCTTTAAAAAAAAAAATCTATTAAAAAAATTGCATAAATGTAAATGCTTCTGACTAGCAGGAAAACGTACAAACAGTTTTTAAAAGGCGCTGGTTGTGTTTGGAGCAAGTTTGATATGCTCCTTAAATTATAGATGTTTTCCATTATGCTATTTTCGTCACTTCGCTTAGACAAAGTTCAAATCAAATGACAGGGGACTTTCTTTCCGGTTTTGTCAATTCTCTGATGCTTCACTTGACTGGTTTTAAAAAGTTTCATCTTCTCACATTTCTTTGAGTTAACAGTGGGTGGCATACAGAGCTTGCATACAACACACTTTTACAGAGGTTACAAACTGAATGGTCATTAATAGAACACAATTTCTATTATTTACCTGGTCCTTTATGCTATTCTGGGTGCAAATAATATAAAAAATGAATAAATTTTGCTATATCCTCAGTGACAAAAATGTATCCCAGAAATGTCCTTGCAAAGAGTTTCCCTTAAGTATACAATGTGGCAAAACTTCAGAGATCAGAAAAGTCTTAAAAAAATTAAAATTAGTGCATATACAAGTGGAAAAAATAAAAGCAGGAACATCATGCACCTGATGTGTTCCTTAATCTAAAATAAATTCTTCACAGATAAAGCCTCCAATGGCAGCCTTAGCTCTAGGATAAGTGAAACATTCTTCCCTTCAAGTAACAGTGTACCTGACTGAAGTGCAAGCAGCTTTGCTCATCTCCTGTTTGTTTCCCAAATGTGAAATGAGATGACAACAATAATTCAGCTGTAGTGCAATTTACTATTGGTTAAGTTCCTCAGCAATGTCCTGCATGCTTTCAGCAAATACTACAACTGACCATTTGCGGCTGCAATCAGTTCTTGAAAAGTATTTTCAAAGCAGCGTTTTAAATCGCTGTAAGTTACCACAAGTACACTCTTCTCATCTCTGGAAATGAGGCTTATTTTTTCTGGCACACCAGCATCTAACTGTAACAAGAATGCAAAAGATAAAATAAAAGAAGTGTGAAAGAAATGGCAAAACATTTCCCCAATAACAAAAGCAATCAATTTCTTGGCACGCAGGTTGTTGTGGCGCAGTTCAAATCTGCTAACACCACAGAAAGGAAGGATCTGAACTGCACCACAACAAGGTACTTGCCAAAAAACCGAGACATTTTGGTCTTAACCTGATGGACATTCCAGACCTTTGGACTAGGTTACCACTGTTTTCTTCCTTTTCCATAAAGCTAATAATCCTGCAATGCTCTCTTCCCCTGTCTGACGTTACATTTGCACAAAAGATCCACAAGCCTCCATGCAGGGTAGGCAGATTATTTCTTGCCCACCCTAAAACAAAATAATGGATTGATCAGCCCAACGTAGTCTGAAAACTGGTAGGAACTCAAATCTCACATTTTTGGCAGTACTGTAAAAACTGCTTCCTAAGATGTGTGGTACATTTCAACCCTTACTTGAAAGAAGATTACCTAGTTATAATACATAAACAAACAGATAAATTTGGATTAAAGATTAAAGTCTCTTCCTCATTTGTTCTGACTTCTCAAATTGACGAAAATTTTATGTTACACTATATACTTTAGAGATGTACCACTAAATCCTAATTTGGAACAGAGGAATATCCTGCTTTACTTGCCGAAGTCCCTTCCAGCACTATATCTTATGTTTTCACTTTGCAAGAAATGTTCATCAACTGACATTTGTCAGACTGTCTTAGAACGCAACATTTCCGTAGCTCTGTTCTAGTCAGTAAATTGATACTTCCAAATACTTGACACAACAAACTTTCTTGTTCCAATACAGAAGGTGGGGCAGAGGCAAGTGTGGTACAACACTACGGACACAATCTTTGGAAATACAACCCCAGCAGGATTAAATAAATATATTACAACGTTGTACTGAATGGCAGAAGAACTATTAAACTTGTCACTGAGATGTTCCACTAGCTGCTATCTGGAACAACACAGCAAGTTAGAAATTTCTTGCATTTATCTGCTAAAATAATATTCTGAGCATAACCTCAGAACCTTGGAACCTCCCAAGTTTCAAGGTCCTGCTTTGTGAACAGCCTCAGAAGGACAAAAGCAAGTCAATTAGCTTTTAATTCTTATTCAGTAGGATAAAACCAGCAGTCTCTTCCAACATCCATTACAAAATATTTTCATGATTAAGTTGTGTTCTCATTAGCATCATACAAGAAAACGGAGAATTATCCTTAATGAATCTATGATATGGGAGATCTGTATTAAGAAAGGCACACAGCTCATTAGAAACATCAATATTTACGGCTTGCTTTCTCTCCTCTTGTGGCAGCACATATCAGTATCTCAGATGAAAAGATCCCAAAATGCCACATGGAAAACAAAAAGGTTTGTGTGGGTTTTTTGTGGGTTTTTTTCTTTTGTTTGTGTGGCTTTTTTTTGTTAAACAGACTAATTTGCATTCAAAAGGAATGCTTTTGGAGTGTAGCAGATAAGCTCAGATAACCACCTTTAGTAAACCATACTACAAGTTTAAGAAGTGCTTTTTAGAGTGTATTTCCAAAGCAGAGTTCTGTAAACCTTACATTATTTGTGTGCTGAGCCCACAATCACAGAAGAGAAGAGCTTCTGTTTCGAAAGGTAAGCCATGAACATTTACAGAACAAGGCATTCTTTGACACCATCTCTTACCTGACCTACGAATTCAGGACTGTCCCCTCTTGCTACAGTACTGTACGGGTCACTGCTTTCAAATCATGATGGCATTTCACTGCCTATTTGAATATCAACATGCTTTCTTTTTGATTTAGCCTCAATCCCTTTAATGTCCTTTTTAAAGTGATTACAGACACCAACCAGAAAGATAAAAAGGAGGTTAAAGAAATGCACAGCAGTGGTCTATTAGGAGATTAAAAGCCTTGACAATTTAGAAAAAGATTTAACTGAAGTTAAGTCAGTTATTACATGTCAAAGGATCTGAATACATTGACATTTTTGCGGAAGAGAAAGTTGGCTATTCTAATGCTAGAACAGAAAATACTCGCTACTGAAACTGTGTATGTCAGTGTCTGCATCACCATTCTCTATGAAGTGAGTGGAATGAGCAGCTACAAACAAAAAAATAAACGGAAAAAAAGGAAAGAGTAGAATCTTAGTCTCCTATGAATTACTGAAGTTTGGAAAAATCATATAAAATAAGTTGAAAGCTGATCTGCCTATAAAAAAATAAATAAATCAGCTCATATTTTTTTTAATTTATGGAACAAGACACGTTCTACAACTACTATCTTGTGGCCTCTCACCCATCTCCTTTTACTAGACACAAGAGCGACCAGCTAAAATTTTGCTAGTGGTGCAGCTCTTGGAAAACTGCAAATAGCTTTGTTAAATCGACCTTGGAAAACAAAAGGCTGGAGAGGCAGGGGAAGTTATCAGAAGCAGACTTAAGATTTAAAGTCACAGAAATTTTCCAGGACTGTCCTACATAGTAAGGATTTTGCACAAATTTCTATTGCAGTCTGCCTCCTGTCTCCTATTCCGGTCAGCACAGTTTAGGAATGGATCCCTCTTGCCTTATGATCATTCCCTCTCGTAATTGTACCAGCAGAAATCTCCCCCAGTTAAAGGGGTTTTATGGATCCTTTATGCTGTGTTGAAAGACCAGAGTAGCATAAAGGGACCAGCATTGCTTATCCACAGTATTCAATGCATTCTGGGATGAAAAGTTAATACTGCATCTCATGCTATATTACTGAATTCCAAATTTAATATTAATGCACTAAGTTTATTTAAAATATCCATAAATGTTTGAATATTAGCTTAGTGAATACATTGTTTTCATCGGAAATGGGGGAAATAACCATGAGTTAAATTAACAGAATTAACCTACCAATGCCAACTTGTTTTGAAGTGGAGTATTATTTTAAAGAAAGTTAACCCAAACAAATGTTTAAAAGCTAACCCAAGTACAGTGTACCTTGTTAAGACATGAGATAATGTGACTGAGGTCAATCCAAGGAGTACCCGCTTCTGTCACCTGATGGAAAAGGTGATCTCGAAAGAGCTTTAGTAAATACCTGTCTCCAGTTTCTGACCACGTTGGGTCCTTCTGAAACCTGGCGTAAAACAAAGGCTCAGGTTAAAGCTCAGAAAGTTAAGACAAATCAAAACCCACAGATATATGTGTCTCTTCACTCTAAATTATCTTACTGCTCTGCTTAAGCTACCTGTTACAATTTACAATTAAATTAGTCTCCTCTCTGCCACAAACAGAAGATAATATTTTCAAAGGTTCAGGGCCACAGGAAAGTAATAGAAGAAAGTGAGAGTTCTCTTCAGTAAATTTAACGTGTAAATGTTAGAAATTGGCATTACAAACAAAACTCCATCACATAGGATGGAAAATATACCACGAACACTACTTCCGTGTAGCAGTTGATAAAAAACAAGCTGAAAAATAACTAGCTTAAACCCAATATCCACACCATTTGCTACAGTTAAGGCATGCCATGGATTTCCTCTAAAACTACTATCACTCACAAGAGAGTGCTAAGGGAAACCATACTAAAAAACAAAGCAACTTGGGCATATCTATTTGAAATCTTTTCCTCTCCATTGTTGAAAATTTTGGTCCAAGCTGCTTATCTTACGTGTCTCAAGGCTTCTTAAATATTCATTTCTTCAGGGGCAAATATGGAAAAATATTTGGTTTAAATTTATGAGGGAAGACACCTTGCACTGCAAACTGGGTTTTACATACTCTACACCATGAAAATAAGTATTTCTTACTCTGGCCTCTCATTGATTGTTCCCAATTTTGCTAGAAGCCTAAACAACCTTCCATTTTGCACCTCCTAGAAAACAAGAAAGAGGTTATTAGCTTCTGAAGCAAAATTAAGACACTTGTTTGCAAAAGGTATACGGTAGTAATGCACATGAAGCACCATTACTTGCAATTATTTATTTATTCAAAGAAGAAGGCATAATTTTTTAAGAAATCAAATGCATTATACTGTGTATCTGTAGCCCAACACTCATTTTAGCACTTCATATTCAAATTATAATGTGGTTATAATGTGGAGATTTAACAACACCTTGCTGCCCCAGCAGGAACTGGATCAGGCGATCTATTTCTTTGTGGAAACATAAGTCTAGTCTCTTGCCAGCCTATACTTACGGGTATGCTAAAAGATAGTAAGTTAAACAAGAAGAATATGTTAATATATATATATGCACACAGTTATCAAGACCTGTAGAAGTATATAGTATCATACCTTATTTCAGGCAAAGATGAGAAGGAACATAATCCACCAGATTTGTCTTTCAGAAAAGCTTTTGTAAGTCACTACTAGTAAATACTTAACAATAACAGTATCAGACTGACATTCAAACTGCAGTCGATTTCAAATATAATTTTGAAGCAACTTTTTCCAAAAAACCTAGAATTTAAGTCTTAAACCAACATACATTCTGAGTCTATCAATGACAAAGATAAAGCAGTGAGAACAAGCTCATACAAAAACCAGAACATTAGAATTACGGATGCTTAGAATACACGCAACTGAGAAATTAATTTCATACATTTTTCTTCATCACTTCAGATACAGTAAGATGACTTACATGCTAGTTTACATTACACTGTGAATTAGTCTTTTGTTTAAGTACAAGCTCCTCGAAGGTGGCAGGAAAAAGATTCTCTCTTGATAATGTCTATATTCTCCAGTGGCCCAGCTCTCCAACATTATTCATGCTAAGCTGCATCTCCTTCTGTACATGATCATATTGATTTCAGAAGAATTCAGTTTGGAATAGATTCCTTTGCACAGCTGGGTAAATGAAGTAGGTCAAAGTGATAACAGCTTGACCTCAGAGAACCTATGGCTTGCAAGATTTCTATTACTAATCCAAAAACACACAGCAGGATAGGTTGTAACACAACAGTAACTACATTTAAGAGGTTTTATGGGGAAGACTTACCTTGTCCAGCTAGCAGAGGTCTAATACAACCTCCAAACAGTTTTTTGGTATGCGGTCAAATAGAGAACAGCCAAAACCACATCTGTGTCAACGCCACCACCTTGCAGAGCCCCAGTCAATCGTGACACAGCAGAGCAACAACAGCAGCACTATGTCTCCAGGTGGCCTCTCTGCAGGCTTAGTAGCCTACAAGGCACAGAGCTCTTCTACAGAGTGGATTAGAGGACTTGGAGAACTGCACCTTTGCAGGCTGAGGCATACAGATGATGACAATATTAAGGCGAGCAAGGAAAGGGACAGTGTACTGGGATCACTGCTCTCTGAAACATGAGCACCAAAATATTAATGGCTTCAAGAAAGCCAAATTATTAACTACATACAAACGGCTTCCAGCATCAGAAGCCCCTAAGCTACAAATAAGTGTGTATTTGAAGAACATGAGAAAAAACATCATACATGTTAGTCTTGTTCTAATGCTCTGCTTTGGGGCAATAATAAAGAGTGGGTACCAGGCTAGACTTAAGGGATGCTGTAGATCTGACATCAGTGAGGATGTGGTAGTACAAACAAATTATATAGTATGACAGCTAATTAGCAACTGCTACTGAGCACTGCCAGGTGAACAGCTACTGCCAACCTGGAGGCTCTGCAACAACTTGGATTTGTAGTGGCTCTGCTTACCTGCCAGTAACAAGCAACTGCTACAACCAACATGACTGAAAATGCATATTGCTTAATGTTGATTACAGGACAATCACCACTTTGCTACAGGAAAATGTCCACCTTAACATGAAATGATCTTAAACATCTTCAGAGTAGGAGTCCTGGTTGACTCCGGTACAGTGGGCACCTGTCATCTAAAGCTCCTCTTTCAATGTAGATACTGCCTTGGCTCTTCTACAGCCCTTTGCTTCCGATGAATTTCAGTATCTTTCACTAAGTAGGGAAAAATGTTATCCAACAAGCTAGTGGTGGAGAAATTAAGAGAACAGTGCATCACAACCTTAGCTATTGGTCTACTACCTCTTAAAGAAAAAATTCTCAATGAGGCCACATAACGGAAAGGTGTCACAGGACTTGATTAAATCCTTCAAAACATAATACCCTATCCCACATATCTTCAGTGTCATGAAAATCTTCTGTACTATATCTCAGCCTTGTTAGAAAATCCTGTGATCAGTGCCTTCTGATGAACAGATACTCTTTCTTGTTGAACAAATCCACACTACTATAGGACAAAGAACATATGTATTTCTTAGGTAGCACTTGACTGAACTTGATTCACTAACCAGACCGTTCCCCCAGCAAGAGATGCACACTTCAGGGAGCAGCCTTTACCTCCACAATCTAGCATTCATTTGGAAACAAAAACATATGAACTAAGTAAACGGACACTGGAATCCAAATCCATCTAAGAATTCAAAGGCAACAGACTTTTGGTTGTACAAGAAGATGCAGTTAAAGCCCAGCTGAGGACATGCTAAAACTACTGGTTCTTGGAGCTTTGGCCTTTCAATTTCTTGGGCTCAGAGTTATCAAGTCTGCAGGCAGATTACTTACATTGCTAAACAAACAAAAGGGAAAAAACAGTAGAAAACATTCCTTTTTAAGGTACAGCTGTAGGAATACTGACTACAAGTCTTCCTGTAGGAATTGCTAAATGATTTACCTTTGCAAGGTCTTCCTCTATAACATCATTTCGCATTTGAGCAGCATCCAACTGAGTATAGAATCGTGCACCAATCATAGGCATGATATCATTTACACTGCGAAGCCTGTTTTGGTCAGTCAGCAAATACCTGTCAAAATATCCACACCCCCAAGAGGATTACTTAAACATGCTGCAAATGCCAGAGAGATTATCCTGTTATCATTTTATAACTCTTTGACACTGATGTCTATTTCACACACAAAGTTAACAATTGGAGCACTTCTTAAAAAAAATTAGTATATATTAACAGACAAAGCAAATTAACTTACATGTAGACATCCAGTTAGTTATTTATAGAAGTGTACTTTTACAGAACTGCATAGTTCGCCTCATTCAAACAGCAAGAACATACTCAAAAAAGGAGAAGATGTGAAGATTGTAAGGCAAATGTTTTTCAAATGAGGGAGGGGGGCAGAGTTTACTACTTTTCCATCTTAGCCTGGGAGAGCAGAAAGGCTGACTATCCTAAAGAACAACACAGAATAACACAAAATAACACAAAGCCAAGAAAAAGCAGCACTCAACGCTTTGGTCAAAAAGCCAATGTGCCTACTTCTCAGCACCCTCTGAAACTGTTAAAATAAGACTAGCATATAGCTATGGTAGACAACAGGCAATGAAGCCCAGTATCAAAGAGAACTTAAAATGCTTGGTTCTGTTTAAGCTCCTGACTCTTTTGTAGTTTTAACAGCCTTTAGTAAAGAAAAGAACATTGATTTTATCTGATACACCATTAAAACACACATTATAAAACCAAATTTTAAATTGTTTAATGATGCACTGACTGTGCTGACTACCTCATGACAGTAGTTCTATCTATAACTTGTGTCTAAAAATAACACTTTACATTTTCCTTTGTATGTTTAAAAAAGTAGTAATTTCCATTAAAAGATTTATTAAGCAAACTTACAAAATCAGATTCTTCAGATCAGAGGAATAGTTGATTGTCACCAGTTCCATTGCTTTCTGCAAATTCTCTCTTTGAATTCCTGATAAAGAATTGCAAGCCAAAGCCAACACAACTTTCCCCAGTGAGATCAGATCTGCTTGCTAACAAGGGAAAACACACACAGATAAGATTCTTAGTATAGATACATATTACTTATGGTACTAGACGGTGATTAAAACAAGACAGTTCAATAACCTTAAAAGAATTTGAGCAGCTAAAACAAGTGTTATTCAAACCATAGCTAAATAGTTAAATATGACTGTCCAAGGTGCAGTAGTTAAAATGTACAGATGAAAATTTGTCCTGATTTTCTGTCCTGATACCTAGCAATTTCTAAGTACTATATTTATCTTTGAGTGCATACAATTTACCTATTTTTAGCTTAAGGATAGTAGCAGAGAGAGCTCTTGTGTAGTGAGCAGAAGCTCTACAAAGATGTTCTCCCAACCACCCACCTGTTCGCTCCTGACAAGTCAAGGAGTTGGTGGCGAACAAAGCAAGTCTTCTCAATACAAGATGCAGAAATATCCATCAAGGATCATTTGTAAAAAGAGAAACAGCATTTGCTGGACTTGGATCTTTTCACAACAGCCATTTGGTATGAATTCCACACTGGATTCCAGCAAACGATGTTTCTGTTTTAACAAAGAGCTCAAAGACTTTTATCTCCGATGGCCAGTGTGAAAAGACATGAACTGCCTGAAATAACTGGAGAGCACATAGCCTGTATGGCTGACAAAATGAGCAGCATCACATTTTAACAAGAAGCTCTTAGCAGTACTAAACTGTCCATAAAAGTAGAACTGCTCCTAAATGATGAATGCTGCATATAGGTTGCTCTGCCACAGAAAATTCTGTCAGTTTTAACAGACAGTCATCAGAGATTATTTTAAAAAGCGACACCAGATTTTAGAGCCCACCCCCCAAAACAGAAGAAGATGATATTTGCAGCAAAAGCTGCCCAGTTCTTTCCATAGAATTCCAGAGGAATCTTGCTGATGCAGCATCTATACAGAGACATATGTCACCTAGCACAATGGCATTTTAATTGTTTTATCTCTAAAGAAGAGGCTTTCAGCTGCATGCAACTTGGCCAAACTTGAAACATCTGCAGCTCTCTGTGCTGGATGCCTCCTCCATTCTGCATTTAAGAGTCAGCTACAGATACAAATTCAGTATTTTCCCAAAGTTTTTTCTTAGAAAATAAGATATTTTTTCAAAAGAAAAAAAGTTAAAGCTAGTAATTATTCAACAATGTCAGCTCCACAGTCTAGATCAAGGCTATGCTGTTTAGCAGTGAACACAGTCATACAAGGAACACACTTTCCATCATCTCTGTAACAAAGGCCGAAAACTTGGCAGCACTGCAACATTAAGTTTTGCTTAGAATTTGGCAGCTTTAGCAAAGCGCTGTGATTGCGAACATGCCGAACAGCCCCTCACCGCTCCTCCACCCAGTGGGGTAACTGTATTTGCTGCCTCTCACTGCAGTAGCTGAGCAGAGCTTTCCCTGCAGCCACGTCACCCAGATGCTGAGGGACACACTAGGAAAAAAACCTTTCCAGGTCTCTCAAGGTCTCTGCTGTTTCCATATCAAGTGTGATTAAGCAGCACAATTTAAAGACAAATATGCAACATGGCAGAAGTTAAAAAGCATCGTACTCTTGTAGCTAATGAAGACAGAAACAGGATGTGGAAAAACGAGACAGAAAGAAGGACTAAGTGATGGAGAAGGAGATGGGCTGCCATGTGCTAGGCTCTATTTCCTAAGGAACCAGGAATTTCCGAGTATCAGCGCTCCTTTGTACTTTGGTAAAGAGAAATGAACCAAAGCAAGAGACCCCATCTTGGTAGGAATCCACTTGCTTCCATCACCAAGTAGTCAGTTTGTGTAGCAGAGGACACCGTTCTAGTACTAAAGAGAGGAATCTTGCTTATGCAGCATCTATACAGAGATTTGTCACCTGGTACTATGGCTTTTCTTGATTTTTTTCTCTACAATACTTAGAAGAAGAAAAATGTAAGTATTTGCATTAACCACAATCTTCCTTCTGCAGTCCCCTACTTTACATGTAATACCTTCCAACTTTTATTATGTTATAAGGATGCATCCTACATAAATTCTCTGTCATTGCACAGCCCTGAAACACTGAAAACACACTTCAGGCAAGACCTTAAGCAAACAGTTTTCCTTTACATAGGTGTTTTCATAATACAGATTGTACTAGATTTTAAAAGTGGTTGAGTAAGAGTCTTACAATGACATCAACCAGGAAATTCTAAAAACAGGCTTTTGATTTTTTAAGCATTTGACTTACAACCTTAATTTTTGTTTGTTTTGCAAATTACAGCTAACAGAAAAACTGGCAGAGACAATACAACCTCAAACACACACATGTCAAATCAGTCAATGCTTAACTTGTTTTGGTTGCAAGAGTGGCTTGGATTCATCCCACTAGTTTTAGCAACTTAAACATCAAGCAATTCAGTTTAGAATCCAACCAATTTAAGGTATCTGTAATTCTGCAAGACAGCTCAGACCTTGAGCGAGCTGAATTGCTTTCTCGAGGTGCCTCACTACTCACTGACAGCTGAAATCCTGAAAGAAAATGTCATTATAATGCCCAATGTTTGAAGTTTTACAAGTGCACAGACAGGGAGTAATCTTCCCATGTGACAGAGGAATCACAGAACATCTCAAGTTGGAAGGCACCCATTAAGATCAGGAAGCCAGATTTCTATTTTAGAAGGGATGGAACCACCATGCACTGACCAAATCGATTTAAGTAGAGAGGGTACACAATTTCCCAGAAGGTGGGGTACATCATCCTTTCCATAAGGAAGCAATCTACCCATGCCCTAACCTCTCCTCTGAAAAAGCCAACAGATTCAGCTCTTCTTGCTTCCAGGCAGAGGAAGGTTGAAGGATGCAACAAGAATTACTAGAGCTCTTTGGAGCAGGGACACCACAAGTAAATGCTGTACTCCTGGAGTAGAAGTTAACATTAGGTACGACTCTTTCACTGTTTATGCTCCATATCATGCTTTGCACATATCTAAGGATCACACCAGTTCCTTTTGCCACAGACCTGCCAGAAGACTTTTGCTACGGTAACTGTCAGCAGTGACTACTAAATCCTACTAAGCTGATTCTCAGCTCCAAGGAGAAGCTTTACATCTTTTAAGTATAGATTGCATTTTGTTTTAGAAACATCCCTTGCATGCAACTAATGATCATTTAATTAGCAACAAACTCCATAACTGTTACCTGTACCAACCTATCTTTTTATCTCCTGAAAGCTTGGCTAGTAAAAACTGTATCACCATCTAGCGCATTGACAGAAATATAAAAGAGCATTAGAATAAAACTCAGCCCATAGGAGATAAACTCAGAAACAGACCTCTTCATTAATGTCTCCCTGTTAGTAAATGAATTTCAAATATGTTGGTGAGCAATTTAAAAGTTAATTGAATAGGAACCCTTTCCCTCTACATTATTTTTTTTAATATTAAAAGGTCCATGTTAATCCGTCAAATGCCCTGGAGATGCCTGGCCATCTTATATTCTTGGCTTTATCAGCCAGACATGTAAGCTCCTCAAGTAAAACTTATTTTTGACAAGATGTATTTTCAACAAACTCTTTAAAACTGATACTACTTTTGTTTATCTGTTCCACTGTTTTGCTTGGATCAATATCAGCTTTAATTCTGTGGATTCACTTATCCTTTTAAATTCTGAAATTGCCCTTAGAAGTCCCTCCAATTTCCTATATATTTTATTTATTTTTTTTATTTAAGGTCAACACTAATACTCCAGATGCCTCTTCAGCTAGTTTCTTTAAATTTGGAGAGGTGCATGTGAAGGCTACTTTTGTTTGCTAAATTAAAAGTATTTTGAACAAATGTAAGTTTTACTGATTTAACAAGGGCCGTAAGGCTGTGTTTCCTCTTCATTTCATACGCAAACAACTCACTTTCATTTTATTCCAAATATAAAAGTGTTTATTAAACCTGTTTACTGCTTTCTACATCACCATTTACAGTTTTCCCATCTGTATTTCACAACTGACTGACACAAAACTTAAGAACGGGGTGGAGGGAAGTCACGTTCTGGAATTTATACAGTTTTAATACCTTGTTCCTAACACAAGTGGCTATTTATATGTCCATTTACTTCTTTTTAGCTTCCCTTATTGTTGCCTTTTTTTAACTCCTACATGATCATATAAATTAATGTGTTTAACACCGTTTGTGAAGAACAATTACATTCCTTTTACATAGCTCCTCACTCTTCTGGCTAAACTCCTTCCTCTCTAGATTAACAATGGGAAATATCCCGAAAGTGACAAATGCTAACAAAGATACATTCCTCCACTGAAGACAGCAACAAGGAAATGCATATTAGCTGGGCAGTAAACCAAGAGATAACCTACATTTTTAACAGTCACAGAAGTCTCAGAGGAATTCGGGAACTGTGTCATGGATCGAGAGGAAAAAGGACAAGCAGCTGCTGTTACTTTGTTATTTTATCTGGCTAGGGCAAACAAAGGTAGAGGATGATAAATGACTCCTGAATTTCAAGGAATAAACTCAGTCCACACTCTCTGAAGGAATAAAATGGGTAGTGAAAGCCTAGCCCTTCAACTTAGTTACCAAGTGTTGGGCTGCTACGGTGGTAAATGTTCTGACAGACTCACGTACCTGTAAAACACCAAGTATTTCTAAATTTGTACCTCCAAGTACACTGAACGTTTTGCTTTAAAATTACTTGAATGTCACAATATCTCAGAAGGATCTCTTTCCCAGCTACCATTAAAATAAATTTGAAGAAGTATTTAGATTTAAAAAAAATTAACAAATTAATGACATTTAAGCACAGAATCCCTGGCTTACATGTATTCCTATCTTCTCTCAGCTGTTTTCCACTAAATTACTACCAAAAGCCCATTGATATGCAGCTGGGGAAATGAAGCGGGGAGGGGTAGGGAATCCTTTGATGTACTACTCCAAATACACTGACAATTGCTTAACCATATCATTCCAAAAAAATAAAAATGCTAAGTTCAAGGACATGGTCTCTGATAAGCTAGTTTCTGCCTGGCTGAAGTTAAAACATTTCATTTATTACTGAAAGACTCTGAGTGATCAATTTCCTCACAGTGAATAAGCTCAATTAACAAAAATAAATGAAACCCAATTCCCTGCTGTAGCCTTTCACGCCCAGCACGGACAGGGTGTGTGGTGACCGATGAAGCAACATATTTTACCCTGAGGGGAAGTTAGGGCAAGAGGCACTCCTGCAGGCAGTGATGTTCCAGCTGACTGCGGAACAGGTTTTGTTAAGTCTAAAGAGATTCTTCTTAATTCAGGAATTATGCAGAGTCCACACTTCATAGAACACCAGGAGAGCACAGAAAAACTAGGAGCTTAAAATAAAGATATCCTAGAACCTTTCAGGAGTGAGAAGATCTAAGAGCAGTTATTTAAAAGATCTCTTACTCCTCTGTGCATAGCCGTTCAACATTTAGTTAATTTTGTTAAAAATATCAAAAGAGAAAGTAGATGAAAAAACTGCTATTAAACCATTATTTTTTGATCTCTAACACTAAATGTAAGATTTTTTTTCTGCTCCTTAAGAATTTGTATTTTCAACTATTTTTTGACTTACGTTTGTTAAATACTCATAGTTCACCCTGCTTAGTGTGTTTGCTGAAATTTGAGAAGATAGCAAAATTAACATTTGTATTTCTAAATAACAAACAAATTTGAATAATACATGGCAGAATCAAGATCATATTAGGAATGAAAAAAATACAGTCATTTAGAGAGAGATATACTGGACTAAAGTTTAACTAAAATACTCGTCTTCCAAAAGAAATCACACTAGTTTTCAGTACTCCCCACATCAAGTCACCAACATAACTATGCTGCTGTTGTCTTACCTGAAACTGAGCCATTAATGCCAGTGGATTATTTTGACTGTTGTCAAATGTCAAAACATCAAAGATACCAACACAGTTAACTCGTAACCTTTAGGAACAAAAAAAAACCAAAAAAGTGTCATTTATCACAGAATCACAGAACATTAGGGGTTGGAAGGGACCTCGAAAGATCATCGAGTCCAACTCCCCTGCCAGAGCAGGATCACCTACAGTAGGTCACACAGGAACATGTCCAGGCGGGTTTTGAACGTCTCCAAAGAAGAAGACTCCACAACCTCCCTGGGCAGCCTGTGCCAGTGCTCTGTCACCCTCACAGTGAAAAAAGCTTTTCCTAATATTCTTGTGGAACCTCCTATGTTCCAGCTTCCACCCATTGCCCCTTGTCCTATCATTGGACATCACTGAAGAGAGCCTGACTCCATCCTCCTGACACTCACTTGGACATATTTATAAACATGAATGAGGTCACCCCTCAGCCTCCTCTTCTCCAAGCTAAAAAGACCCAGCTCCTTCAGCCTTTCCTCATAAGGGAGATGTTCCACTCCCTTCATCATCTTTGTGGCTCTGCGCTGGACTCTCTCCAGCACTTTCCTGTCTCTCTTGAGCTGAGGGGCCCAAAACTGGACACAATATTCCAGATCGGGCCTCACCAGGGCAGAGTAGAGCAGAATGAGAACCTACTAACCACCTCCCTTCTAATACACCCCAAGATGTCATTGGCCTTCTTGGCCACGAGGGCACATTGCTGGCTCATGGTCACCCTGCTGTCCAACAGAACCCCCAGGTCCCTTTCCCTTACGCTGCTCTCCAACAGGTCAGTCTCCAACCTCTACTGGTACTTGGAATTGTTCTTTCCCAAGTGCAAGACTCTACACTTGCCCTTGTTGTATTTCCTAGAATTTCTCCCTGTCCAACTCTCCAGCCTGTCTAGGTCTCTCCGAATGGCAGCACAGCCTTCTGGTGCGTCAGCCACTCTTCCCAATTTAGTGTCACGAGCAAACTTGCTGACAGTGCTCTCTAATCCCTCATTCAGGTCACTGATGTATATATTGAACAGCACTGGCCCCAGTACGGACCCCTGAGGGTCTCCACTAGATACAGGCCTCCAACTGGACTCTGCCCCATTGACCACAACTCCGACTTCTTTCCTTGAACCAGTTCACAATCCACCTCACTACCTGATCACCCAGCCCACACTTCCTACAAGGATGCTGTGGGAGACAGTGTCAAATGCTTTACTGAAACCAAGACAAACCACATCCACAACACGGCCATCATCTACCACCTGGTTACATCCTCATAAAAGACTATCAGGTTATTGGTTAGTCAATTTTTCTTCTGGCATTCATTGAATGCTTTGATATGACAAAAAAAAAAGTTATCAGTATTCAGCAAGTTACTATGAAGCAGAAAATACTAATTTTATTATTTGATAAAATGCAACAGATAAGTTTTCAGTTTACAAATAATATATAACTTGTCAGTAGTAGATCTCAACAGTACTTTCAGAATAATACTTTGAGAATAATGTGTGAGTCTTCCCAAAACACGTTTAAAAAGAACTTTCAGTAAAGGTTACAAGTTTTAGCGCAGTATTTTGTATCAGTTAAAAGTACCAGGACTTTCTTGTTAGAATTTGTTAATTTTGTAACAGGTGCACAGTCAGCAGCTACCATAAACACAGATCACAGTAACATCGTAAGAACAAGAGCTTTTACTACCTTGTTTTGCCCGTTACTAGAATCTTTGTTGGATCCATAACTCGGCACGCCAGTCCTGCTGTATGAATGGTCCGTAACGCAGAGCTGAGCTGCACAATATACGCCCATATCAAAGACTCTGGAAGCAATCCAGCATGCTGCCGTGGTAGAGGTCCGTCATGCTGACCTAGAAGCAAAAGACTGTAAGCATCAATAGAAGGCTACCGCGCAAAATTCAAATTAGAAAATTATGAATTACACCATTAACTCACGTATTCATTTCATTCAACTCTTAACAGTCCCTGAAAGACACATCTATTGTGCTCTAATAGTTGGTTTAGGATTGTTATTTTTTGTTTCGTTTAGGTTGGGGGTTTTTGGAAGGACACATTTAAAATGCTGGCAGTTCATCACTATTTTTCCTCTCGTATTCAGGAAAATCACGTTGATTTTTAAAGTTTAAGACGAATAAAGACTACAGAAAGAATACTGGTTAGAAATTGCTGAACGTGGGTGGTTCATCAAAATATGCAGGTACTTCAGAAGTAAAAATGTCAGTATTTTGAAATAACAAGCATGTACCACAATAGCTGCAACAGATCCTATTTTACCTCCCTTATTGAAGGAAGACTTACAAATTAAACATTCTCTATCATCTGATAAGACAAAGAAAAAAATAACTAGGTAGTTTCAAATGACATGGGCAAATCAGACTGGAAGATTTGGTGGCTAAATATCACTGAACACAACTTCACGTATGTTCTGCTGTGACCCAACTCGCTGAGAATGCATCACTGCATGTCCCCTGTTCAGTGGGCCATATGAAAGCAACATATCACTCTCCTTCTGAAAGGATTTGAAGTCCTTTCTGAAACTAATTCTTCATGAACACACATACACAAATTATACATTGTAAACAGTTTGAGTAATACTGAGCCCGAGATGAAAAAAATAAAGATATAGAGAACAAATGTTATTTTTAGTCATATACATGTAATAGGAAGAAGTTGCTTCTGTCTGCATGGCCCAACACCGAAGCAGCAGAAGAAAATACATCCAAATTAAGACAGTACATCTCAGTTTTACAGAATGAGAAGCATTTAATGAGGTAGCCTCAGTATCAGTTTTGATAATTTTGAGACCAGTAATATCACCAGTATTCAGTAAAGTCATGTAAGCATCCAATTCAGTTGTAAACTGACTGCACTCCTCCAAACATTTTTCTTGGCTTTTTTTCGGTCTGTGTGGAGTTTTGTTTGTTTGTTTTGTTTTTACTTTCTGTGCAGGAGTATATAAACATATGCGTGCTTGCTCAAATTAAGTTTGTGATTGCACCCTTGCATATGTACATACCAAGATGTGTGAGAGTAGAAAAAAAAGAAACACATCACTGAAAAATTTACTCAGCAATTTTACTGATTTTGAGGTAATGGGCTGGGTTCCTAGCTTTCAGTTCTAAGCTTTGTTTGTTTAAATTTTAGTTCATTTTTCAGGTTTATGACGCTTTGGTTTAAAGTATAAAGATTAAGATATTGAATCCTTTAAATAGCAATATGCCTGGCATGTCTACTGAAGGCTGAATATAATGAGATAGTCTTTGTTTTCTTCTGGCCTCCTGATGAATCATTATGCAAATCACTTCCCACAAACCAGCATACCAGAAGCAAACTTTTTTTTCCTCATGAGTCTCTTCTCTTCAGCATGACAAAAATTACGATGATATAAAATGATTGAGGAGATACAACCTCCTTTATTAGCTGAGGCTCTTTCTCTAGTTACTACTTGCTATAGAAAATACTTTGTATATGGTAAAAGCAATGTGTGTGATACATTTAACAGGAATGGGTACAGACACTCTAAGACAGAATTCTATCTGCATGAATGTCGTGGGTTAGGGCTGGGCCGGCCACTAACACGGACAGAAGCTCTCTAACCCCCTCTTCCCCCCCAAAATGGGAAGGAAAAGGGAATGAAGCAGAGAGACTTTTGGGTTAGAGAAGAAAAAATACTAGAACAGCTTTAATGAAACAATAATAGAAATAACAGTGGAATGATAAAAGTAAAGAACTATACACAACTA